TCTATACATTACGCTATGCTCACCACAAGGGTGGCTACCATCTGTCACCATAAAATGCTATTACAATATCATTGATTATATTCCCTGTGCTGTACCTTTTAATCCTGGGATTTATTCATTCCATAACTGGAAGCCTGTATCTCCCACTCCCCTTCATCTATTTTGCCCATTCCCCCACCCCTCTAGCAATCATCAGTTTGTTCTCTGTATTCATGGGTCTGATTTTGCTTTTTGTTTGTTTATTCATTTGTTTTGTTTTTTAGATTCTATATATAAGTGAAATCATATGGTATTTGTCTTTCTCTATCTGACTCATTTCACTTAGCATAATACCCTCAAGGTCCATCCATGTTGTCAAATAAGTCAAGATCTCATCCTCTTTTATGGCTGAGTAATATTCCATTGTATATATACCACATCTTCTCTATCCATTCACCTGTCAATAGACACTTAGGTTGCTTCCATATCTTGACTATTGTAAATAATGCTGCAATGAACCTAGGGATGCACATATCTTTTCAAATGAATATTTTCTTTTTCTTTGGGTAAAAACCCAGGTTGGAATTACTGGATCATATGGCATTTCTATTTTTAATTTTTTGAGGAATTCCATACTGTTTCCACGGTGGCTGCCCCAGTTTGCATTCCCTCCAACAGTGCAATGTAACAGTGCACAAGGGTTCCTTTTTCTCCACAACCTCGCCAACACTTGTTATTTCTTGTCTTTTTTATTCTGGCTGTTCTGACAGGTATTAGATGCCCTACATTCTCACTTTGTGAAAGGAAAAGCTAATAGAACTAGCTCCTATGAGGAATTTAGTATATTAAAAAAACTAATAATTTTTCAGAATATGATCTGGGACTTGCCCAGATTCAGCCAATTTCCTATCCCTCATACGTGGAGATTGCTCACATCGTAGAAGTCACTCAGCCAACATTTATAGAGCAAGTCCTATATGCCAAAGACTGAAATAATAACTTATGCTTTTAATTTACTAATTAATTTCACATTTAAATTTAAAATAATTACCCTGAGATAAAAAGAAAAGACAAGTATTACCAGCTCCATCTTCTCTTTCTCATATGAGGAAAGTCGGGCTCAGAGAGGCTCCGTGATGGGCCTGAGGTTCCTCTGATGGTATAGCAGAGATGAACAGGGGTGTTATGACCCCCTAAATGCAGTATTCTTTCCATTTCCCCTTGGGATCTCTTCCACAGGAACTGCTATTTAAACTCACATGTCACCAAGAGGGAGCAAATATTATCACAATCTTGTAAGGAGAGGAAAGTAAATATTTTAGAAATACCATCCAGTGAAATTTTGTTGTTTTTTTTTTAATAAAACATTTTCTGGTTGACACAAGGTTTTATCAGAAAATGAGTCAGAAGACTTCATTCCCCAATCTACCCATTAATCCAAATTTAAATTAATTATCTAAGATTCGAAATAGAAAAAATAAGGCATTTTTGGATAGTTCTAACAATCTGAAGAGAAATTTTCAGCATGCATTTCCTCAGTAGATGCTTGGTGACTTACACCCCCTGCCAGGCCCATCCCACCTTGTAGTAGTAAAGGAGGTGGTGGGCCATCCTTCATGGGGAACGAGCACAAGAAGCCACCGGGCCGCAGAGAGATACAGAGACAGACAGAATGAGTAGGGAATAGTTGCAGTTTCCCAAGAAGTCCAGCTACAGTTTTTCTGTATCCATCCAATAATCACCACCCCTCCCCCAGCATAAGTAAGTTTGGTTGGGTCTTTTATCCTTACGATCAAATTTACTTGGATTAGGACAGTATGACAAAGGCTGCCCTCAAGATGAATTGGATGGGAAAGGGTGGAAAATCTGGATGGGAAAGGGTGGAGAATCTGTATAATCAGAAGTCCTGAGGGAAACTGCCATGCAAGCCAAGTGTGTCTAGCAACCTTCAATCCCTCCACTCTCACCTACTTCTAAGCCACCGCCCCGCCATGGGTGGCCTACACTCCCACAATGACCTTTGCTTCTGAAATGTTCTAACTGCTATACTCTTCTTAGGCCCATCCTTTTTGGAAAGTGCCTCAAGCTTCTTGGGTAGGTATTAAGATTATCTGACCAAGCTAACTCACCCTAACTTGAGTTATCCCCAGAGAATTAAAAGTTATCCCCAGAGAATGCAAAATAAGATCTTATGAACCAAAACGAAGCTCTGATTTGTGGGGTTTATGCCAGAAATGTTTCAGGAGCCCAAGAATGGACTATCCTGGGCCATGTGCTCACCCCTGGCCATTAAGCAGAGGACAGGGGGGCATGTGGCCTGCAGGGCAATCCACGGTGGACAATTTTATTTGTTAAGTAATCGCTACATCCACGGGAGGGCTCGAACTCATGACCCCAAGATCAAGAATTGAAGCCCCGTGTGGAGCACCAGCCTACTTAAAAAAAAAAAAAAAAAGAGTTGCCTACTATACCAACTGAACCAGCCAGGCGTCCTACAGCAGACAATTTTAGAGGGGGATATGGGTTTATGGCAGTGATTGGTGTCTACTTTATATGGTTCTTTTAGTAATCTGTTCTGGCTGCCATAACAAAATGCCACAGACTGGGTAGGTTAAACAACAGAAAATCATTTTTTCATAGTTGTGGAAGCTGGCAAGCCCAAGTTAAAGGTGCTGGTCAGTTTGGTTTCTGGTGAGAGCTCTCTTCCCGGCTTAAAGATAACTGCCTTCTCTCTGTGTCCTCTCATATTAGGAAGAGAAAGCTCTGGAGTGAGGGCATCAGCCCCATTGAATTAGGAACCCACCTTCATGACCTCGTTTAATTTTTATTACCCCTTCACAGGCCCTATCTCCAAATATAGTTACATTGGGGGTTAGGGCTTCAACATATGAACGGAGGGGGACACTAATATTTAGGCCATAACATTTCACCCCTGGTTCCCCCAAATTCATGTCCTTCTCACATGCAAATACATGCACTTTATTCCAACAGCCCTCAAAGACTTAACTCATTCCGGGATCAACTCTAAAGTCCAAGGTCCAGGGGTGCCTGGGTGGCTCAGTCGTTAAGCAGCTGCCTTCGGCTCAGGTCATGATCCCAGGGTGCTGGGATCGAGCCCCGCATCGGGCTCCCTGCTCTGCAGGAGGCCTGCTTCTCCCTCTTCCACTCCCCCTGCTTGTGTTCCCTCTCTCACTGTGTCTCTCTCTGTCAAATGAATAAATAAAATCTTAAAAAAAAATAAAGTCCAAGGTCCAAAGTGTCATCTAAATAGCATCTAAATCAGATATGAGTGATACTTGAACCTTTCTCTCCAGATGTGAATCTGTGAAACCAGACAAGTTATGTGATTCCAAAATACAATGGTGGGACAGGTGTAGAACAGACATTCTCATCCCAAAAGAAAGAACCAGAGAGAAGGAAATGGTGGTGAGTCCCAAGTAAGCCTAAAACCTAGCAAGACAAATTTCATTAGCTCTTTTTTTTTTTTAAGACACCCAGGCGCCCCTCCATTAGCTCTTAATGGTTAAGAATAATCCTCTTTGGGGGCGCCTGGGTGGCTCAGTCGTTAAGCGTCTGCCTTCGGCTCAGGTCATGATCCCAGGGTTCTGGGATCGAGCCCCGCATCGGGCTCCCTGCTCCGCGGGAAGCCTGCTTCTCCCTCTCCCACTCCCCCTGCTTGTGTTTCCTCTCTCGCTGTGTCTCTCTCTGTCAAATAAATAAATAAAATCTTAAAAAAAAAAAAGAAGAATCCTCTTTGGTTTGATGCACTGTCCTCCAGGATCACTGGGGTGACAGTGTCACCCTCAAGTTTCTGTGGGGAGACCCACCCCTTCAGCTCTCTGCTGAGGGCCCCCACCATGGATGGCTCTTTTCAAGGACCCTGCCCTCTTAAACCAAAGAGGAAATAGCCTTGCCCCCTGGCCCTGTGATGGGAGTTAGTAGCCCTCATGAACTATAAACCACCTTCGGGCTTGTTCTTCCCTTTTCTTGAAGGATAACCCATGTTAGCAGTCTTCCTTCATTCGGTCTCATTTTCTTGAAGCTGTCAGTGTTTCAGATGGTATAATCCCATCTCTATTTCTGGCTTCTGTGAGATGGCTGATGAATTGCACGGTTCACACCACATTAATCTCCTTATCAAAGGGTTGTTCAGCCACACCCTTATACCTTACGGTTCTTGTCAGAACACCTTCTTCATTTTTCAGTGTGGAAAGGCTGAGAATTTTCCAAATCTTTAAGTTCTGGTTTTATTTTTGTTTAAGGATTCCTTCTTCAACACATTTCTCTCCTCTCATCTTCAGTACTTTGCTTAGAAATTGCCTCTGCTATATATCCAATTTTACTACTCACAAATTCAACTTTCCACAAAACAGTAGAACACAGTTGAGCCAAGTTCTTTGCCACTTTGTAACAAGGATCATCTTTCCTCCAGTTTCCAATAACCTGTTTGTCATTTTAACTTGAGACCTTACCAGAATGGCCTTTAACATCCACATTTCTATCACCATTCTGTTCACAATTATTGATGTGTTCCCTGAAAAGATGGAAATTTTCTCTCCTGCTCTCCTCTTTTTTTTAAGATTATTTATTTAGTTATTTGAGAGAGAGAGAGAGCACACAAGCAGGGGAGAGCCCCCCCTCCAGAGAGAAGAAGACTCCCCGCCGAGCTGGGAGTCCGAAGCAGTGCGTGACTCGATCCCAGAACCCTGGGATCATGACCTGAGACGAAGGCAGACATTTAACTGACTGAGCCACCCAGGCACCCTCTCCTCTTTTCTTTTGAAGGCTTCATTAGAATTGCCTTTAACATCCATCTTTCAAGCATGCACCTCAGACTCCTCCAGCCCCCTCTCACTCCCTAGTTCCAAAGCTGCTGCCACATTTTTAAGTATTTGTTACAGCAGCACCCCACTTCATGGTACCAAAATCTGTATTTGTCAGGGTTCTCCAAACAATCAAAACCAATAAGATGTGTATCTATACAGAAAGAGATTTATTATAAGGAATTGGTTCAAGCGATTATGGAGGCTGACAAGTCCCAAGATCTTCAGTCAGCAAGCCAGACCCAGAAGAGTCAGTGATGTAGTTCTGGTCAACCACTGGTGGGCTCAAGATCCAGGAAGAATCAGTGTTTCAGATTAAGTCCAAAGGCGGGAAAAAACTGATGTCTCAGCTCAAAGGCAGTCAGGCAGGAGGAGTTCCCTCTTACTCAGCTTTTTAAATTTTATTCAGTCCTTTAACTGATTCATGAGCCGCACATTAGGGAAGGCAATCTGCTTTGCTCAGTCTACCAATTCAAACGTTCACCTCCCAGATACATCCAGGATAATGTCTGACCAAATGTCTGGGCCCCCTGTGGCCCAGGCAAGTTGACACATAAACCATCACAATTCTCAACCTCATAAATTACTTTGGATTCATAAGTGCAAATTGAAATGCCCGGGGAGCTTGAAAAACATACCATACGCTAATCCCACCCCCAGAAATTCTTATGTAGTTGGTCTGAGGTGCAGCTCTTGTCTTGGGAGTTATATATATATATATATATTTTTTAAAGATTTTACTTACTTGTTTGAGAGAGAGAGAGCACAAGCAGGGGGAGGAGAAGAGGGAGAGGCAGAAACAGGCCCCCCTCAGGATGTCGGGCTCCATCCCAGGACCCTGAGATCCAAAGGCAGAATGCCCAACCGACTGATCCACCCAGGCGCCCCGTCTTGGGAATTTTAAGAGGCTGGTGCACTCTAACATGCGGTCAAGGTGGCCAGATGGCCTTCAGCAAGCAAACTTAGTGGAGCAAAGCAGCCACTCGGGAGCGCTTTATGTGACTCAGCCTAAAGCTACCACCAACTAACAACTAACAGTCTCTTAATTCAATTATTTGAGGGCCCTTTATACACTACTAGCTGTAACAGCAAAGGAATAGCCAGGAATTCGACAATATAGGTGCTAAGTACACACATGGTAAAACTGAGATCAAAGCATTTGGGGGAAATGAGATGCTCTGGATATGGGAATGGTGGGGTTTTGTTTTAAGCTTTGGTGTTGGTGACGAATAGAGCTATGGCTTATGTTTCATAACTCATGGGCTTTTGATTCCATGCACTTTTTATCATTTAGCTGATTTTTCATAATTACTACTTTTTCCTCTGGGAAGTTGGGGGCACACCACCCTTATTTTTCCCCAGGGCTGTCCCAGCGCCCTGGTCTGGGCTCTGAGTTTAGCCTCCTGTGGGGTGGGTGAGGAGGTGGAAGAGGCTGGAAGGATGAGTGGGGGAACGACACTCCTCTCCACCCTAGCTGAAGAAGAGACTAAGGCCTGGGTGTAGGTGATCATCAGATATGATTCTGTAGATTTATAGTAGTTCTTGTCCTTTCCTTGGTAATGCTAAGAGCTAAGAGTGACACTTCCCTCTTCTCTGAGGGACAGCAATTCTTTCTCACTCTGCTATGGGGCTAATAAGGCAAACCACAATGGCCATTTACTACTGTCTGGGTGAGATTTCATGCAGCATTTGCTCCGTATCAATCCAGAAAGAGGCAAAAGTACATGGAAATGTTTTGCATGGTAAACAAGGGCTGCATTACATTGCTCGAGTTTTTGGCATGAAGAAGAACTATGCAAAAACTCTCAACTCCTGAAAAGATGCTAATCCCTGAAAGAGAATTTACTGATAACTTAAAAAACCATGGAACCAACCCTGCAATGTTGTTTCAAAACTAAGCCCCACAATGCAGACAGAGTTTCAGTTTAGGAAGATGGACGGTGGTGATGGCTGCACACCAATGGGCAAGTACTTAATGGCCCTAACGACTACACTTAAGAATGGTTTAAATGGTGTCAAAAAAAAAAAAGTTCCACATTAAAAAATTAAAGGCATCTCATATTCAGAATTAACACCATCCTTAAATATGTAATACCAAAACAAAATCCTGAAGGTTTTACTGCCTAAATCAGAAATTCTAGGTTCAAATACGTTTGAGAGGAGGCAAGAAACTGAGATGCAGGGAGGTCACGTCTATGCAACCACCAACAAATACCCAGACTTTCTAAGAGCCGCGTGGTTCTCAAGGTGGCAAAGAGCTAGTCAGACCGAAGCGTTTCCTTAGTTGAGCTGGTGTGTTGGTGGCGGAGAAGCAACAGGAAGGGAGGAAGACGGGGAGAGATCTTCCTCCTCCAACCAACGAAGAGAGGCCGGCTGCCCACCGGGGCCGGACAGCTACCCCGACCCGAAGCGGCCACCCGGCTCCCGGGCTGCCCTTGCCCTCGGGGCGGCGGGAGCCAGCCGGGCCGCGGCAGACCCGGCGCTGCGGAGAGAGCGTCTGCGGCCCAGTGGGGCCGCGCTCCTAACTCCCAGGGCCTCCTGCGGCAGCCAGGCGGGAGCGGCAGCTTCTCCCGCCTCCCTGCCGCTCGCCCGGCTTCCAGGTTCAATAAGGATTACATCATGGAGCAAGTATGCGGGGCAGCCTGAGAATCAAAGCCGTCACAATCAGAGGCTGGTTAACTGTAATGTTGCTGAAACACATCCTTCCCACCCCCTCCCCTCTCCGCTCTCCCCACCCCAGCCCTCTGCTTTTCGTACTATTAAGCATAGTATTATTGGGCAGAGGAAAATCTGATCAAAACTGTCGACCGCCAACGGCAGATTTTCTATGGATTCTATAAAGGCCACCTTAACGATTTCCCTAATTAATGGATGACATCTTTGGCTGAAGGAGAGGCGATGGATTCGACTCTGTCTTCGTCTTTGTTAACCTTCTAATTAACTTTCGTAGGTCACACAGGTCTCCCAAACCTAAAAAGTGAAGAGGCCCATTGTGCGAGGAGCAGTAAACTTACTTTTTCTGCTGGGGTACTTAAAAGGGAGAACGATTATAAGCCGAGAAAAATAACTCCATTTAAAAGCTTTGTGGCTGCGGAGAATGCATAGGTCCCTCCCTTAGAAAATAATTGAAACACCTTTTATACCAATATTTCTATGCATAATAAAAACAAATTAGCAAAATGCATCTAAATTCAGCAGCACTTTCAAATTACCTTTTTTGGAATGTAAGCCTCTGCAAGTCAACAAAAGGAGTGAGGTTTAGAGAGAAAATTGCAACTGCAACAGCTATGGGCCTTTATGCAGCGTGAGTGCAGGACAGGGCCAGAGGCTCGGATTCTCTGAGTCACCTCCCTCGGGAAATCCTCTTGCCGGGGCTGGGGGATGAACTGCCTGGGGGACCCAAAGACTACTCTCAAACGATCGGATCTTTGTCTGGTTAGAAGGGTTTTTGGGGGGTTCAGAAATATTTTAATGATCTTAATGAAAAACGGAAATCATGGTGGTGGAAAAGCCAAAAAGCAAGATGAAACCCCACCGTGATCAGTGAAATTGACAAATGAGAACAATTTTTTTTTTAAGTAAGACATATACCTGTTGGAATTTTAGCGTTGGTGGATTTGCCAGGCTATGCAGATGAGCTGTAGCTGCTGTTCCTTAGCATCTCTGACCAAGCAAAGGAGACACTGAGGGAAGAGCAGGTAGGTGCGCAGCCTAAAATGGAACCAAGCTAGAGGCTTCTTTATAGGAGAGCTTTACTGAAAGGGAACTCCTCTGAGTTATCTTGCAAGGGAATGAGATTCCTAACCCAAGGACAACAGCAGCACTGACTTGAGCATTGTTTCTGATTATAAACAGAACGAGAGCTAATTGTAGAAAAGTACAAAGACTTTAAACACTGTCAATATTTTAATTCTGTCTTTCCATTCCTTTTTCTGTGCACCCCCAAATTTTCACACATTTCAGATTTGTATCCTTTTTTGGTCCTTTAATACCATATCGTGAGCATTTTTCTGTGTTATTAAAAATGGGAACAAGATCCTTTTGGGGTCCTGCCCACACACCTAGAATGAAGGTGCAGGGAGCATCTTTATGACCTCTCTTCTAGAAAGCTGCCACCTGTGGGAAAAACCAGTGCTCTCATGCATTGCTGTGGAAATTTAAATTGCTGCAACCCCCCTGGACAAGAGGGCAATATGTCATCATTTATCAAAATTACATAAACATACATCCTTTGATACAGCAATTCCTCTGTAGGAACTTTCCCTAAGAAACTTGCACATGTGCAAAATACATATGTCTAAAGTTATTCTTTGCAGCACTGCTTATGATAAGTTGAAAGCACTCTAAATGTCCATCATTTGGGGACTGGTTAAAGAAATATGGTACATCCATTCCGTGGAACATTACACAGCCATAAAAACAGAGATGAGGATGCTCAGTATATAACAATTTGGCACGGTCTCCGAAATAGCCTGTTAGATAAACAACAAACAACAAAAGGGAGCAGAACAGTATGTACAGTATGCTACTATATGGCGGGAAAGGCGTGGTCTGAATACTCTTAAAAATCTTCTTCTGGTAGCAGTTGTCTTGGGAAGAGAGAACTGAGAGGCTGAGGAGCCGCTTGGGAAGGAGCCATCCGTATAACTTTTGTATCCTTTGAATTTATGCTGTGTGAATATGTTGCCTATTCAAAAAAAAATACGTGAATTTAAGAATTTAAAAGGGGAAAGGTTGCTGTCTTCTAATCTGCTCTGTGTACATCTCTGTGCAATTCAAGGGTAGCCCCGTCTTAAAAGCTTTCTGTTCGTTTCTACATCTTAAATAGCTTATTTTAGGTTTCTCAAAGTCCACCTCGTTTAAAAGACCCCTAAAATGGAAGGTACACAGTCACTTTCTCTTTGAAATCTTTAAATGTTTTTTTTAATGAAAACAGAATAATGCATTCTGTGATTTAATTGTTCAAAATTAAAATTCAACAAACCGTTAAGTCTGTATAAATAAAACATTCACAGACTTTGTCAGCACGTGCATCGGGACAGATGCTTTGGGATCATGGATAGATTTCCTAACATTTGAGATGTGCCAAGAAAGAGATAAAGAAATCAAATAAGATCTTGTATTACGCAAAATCTTTTTGCTCACAAGAGTCTGATTTACTTGTATCAATCAATTTAAGTGATTCACGCTTTATGAGCCATTCTAAGTGATTGAACTAAAACCTGGAGCCAATATTATCCTCTCCCCACGCTTCAGCCCAATCTGTCAAATGGCATTGGAAATGATTAGTTTGAACCATATAAAATTAGTGTTGTCAATGATCCAATAGCAGCAATTTCAAGATTTAACCTAATATTTTCCATCATCATGATGTTGTAGCCTATAGCTACATAACAGAGACATTGTTAGATGCCCATCCAACATCCATTTCTCCCTTTTTCCCTGTTAGCAGAACTCCCATATAGTTCCCATTTAAGAAGGGAGTAAATCCCACCTCAACTAAACCATATACATGGAATTCCCATTTCTCTTATCTGTGATTGGTTTAGATTTGAGCATGTGATACAGATCTAGGCCAGTGAGATATAAGAAAGGACAGCTCGAGGTTCTGTGAAAGATTTCTCTTCCACTGGACATTTTCAGGTCCAGGGAGCCCGCCCAGAATGCCAGCAGCCATCTTGCTACTACAAAGGCAGCAAGCCTGCAGATAAAATGGGCACGATAGGGTCACATAGTAGAAAAACGGGAAGGAAGCTGGATCTCCATGATAGTACTGAGTGGTTGTAGAGAACAGCTCTGTAATCCCCTGACCTTGTACTTCTTGTTTTGTGAAATGATGATTTTCCTCATTACTTAAGCCATTTTGAATTGGTTTTCTATTACATTCCAAACATCCTGGCATATATTTTTACCACTTGAAGTCATGTGAAGCCCGGATAGTGTCTTATAAAACTCCTCGGATAGTTCTGTTGCGCTCCTCTAGTCAAGATTTTTTAAAATCATAAAAGTAAATGTCTTCTCAATGTCTTTCGTCATTAGGGAAATGCAAATGAAAACCACAATGAGATACCTACCATTTCACACCCACTAGAATGGCTATAATCAAACAGATGGACAATAATGAGTGTTGGCGATGATGCGAAAAAACTGGAATCCTCATGCACTGCTGATGAAAATGTAAAATGCGGCAGCCACTTTGGAAAACTGTTTGTCAGCTCCTCAAAAAGTTAGTCATAGAGTTACCACATAACCCAGTGATTCCACTTCTAGACATATATACAAGGGCAGTAAAAACATTCATCCACACAGAAACACACAGGAATGTTCATAGCAGCATTACTCATGATAACCAAAAAGCAGAAATGACACAGATGTCTATCCATTGATAAATGGGTAAATTAAATGTGGCACGTCTGTGCAATGGAATATTACTTGGCAATTAAAAGGAATGAAGTCCTGATTCATGCTACAATAGGATGAACTTTGAAAACATTATGCTAAGTGAAAGAAGCCAGACACAAAAGGCTACATAGCATACGATTTCACTTATATGAAATATCCAGAACAGGCACCATAGAGGCAGAAAATAAATTAGTGGTTTCTGGGGACGAGTGGGAGGGGGAAATGGGAAGTGGCTGCTAATGGAAATACATTTTCTTTTTGGGGGTGATAAAAATGCTCTGGAATTTGAGAATATTGGCACACAACTCTGGGAATATACTAAAAACTACTGAATTGTACACTTCAAAAAGGTGAACTTAATGGTATGTCCATTTTATCTCAAAAAGTTGTTATGAAACATTAAAAAAATGCCTCCCATAAGTGTTTTAAAAGATCCTAGAATTAAAAAAAAAAAAAAATCCTAGGATTACCGTACAACCAAGACCCAACCTTCAAAAATACATATGGGCAATTCGTTAAAAGAAAGATAATTTTTAGTCTAATTAGATCTGCATTTTTGTAGTTATTTCAGCAAAAATGAGTGGAGATTTTATCTTCTAGTAGACTGTAAACTTTATGAGGCCAGTGTCCACATCTGTGTCTCAGTGCCAACATATCCAGATGGACTACACATATTACAGAATAAATGAATGAATGGATCATGGTACATTTTCTCATGAGCAATTGTGGGTTTACTCCCTAAAATAGGCCTCTGTTTACTTACCTGCAAAATGAGGCTGAAGCAGAAACTACCTTATGGATGTATGTTAGGATTAAATGAGACAAGAGAACTAAAATTTTGCAAAGTCCCTGGGACATAATAAGAGTCAATAACAGGTAGTTATTGCTGTTTTGTGGTGGTGGTGGTGGTTGTTATTACCATTATTATATTTGGGGACATAATTTCCATTCATCACAAGAGATGGAAATTTCTTACCAGTTGGCATGAGCAAATCTTGAGTAATTATGTCTCAAATATGTTTTTGTTCTTGTTATAAAATTAAATAAGAAAGAATTCGCAACTTTCAGATTCTGAAACTAAAATGATTAGAAATTCAGATTTAGGGGCTCCTGGGTGGTTCAGTCCGTTAGGCATCTGCCTTCAGCTCAGGTCATGACCTCGGGGTCCTGGGGTCGAGCCCCGCATTGCTTCTCCCTCTCCCTCTGCCTCTCCCCACCATTCATGCTCTCTCTAGCTCTCTCTCTCTCAAATAAATAAATAAAATCTTTTTAAAAAAATTCAGATTCAGCAATCATAAGATTTTTCAAGGCTATGAGTACATGAAAAAAATCTACTAAAATATAATAGATTTAAAGTACTGTAAGTGGCTTAGACTGGAACAATATTTTTTTTCTAAACTTTTGCTATTTTTTTCAGTTACTCCATTAAGTTTATAATACCAAAGGCCTTTTAGTTAAGTAGTCAGCTTTCAGCCTATGTTACAAGTTTTTTAATCGTCTCCTTCACCTCTTCTTTCCACTTATCAATTTATAACACACACCTTACTTGAGTGCAATATTTTTCACTTTGCCTGAAATTTAACATATACTGATACTGATAGGATACAAATTGAGCTACCAATTGT